TATTACTTTTTTTTAACAGGAATAAATACAATTCAAGAATTATTGTATTTGGTGTATTATAATGGTTATTGGAACAAAATATATTTGTTAGTTACTCCCTCCCTCCAAAAAAGAATTACCCATTTACTATTACGGCTTCTCGATAACTCTTATTTGTTTGTGTATTTTCATTGATTATTTTATTAAAAAAATTTTTGTCAGCTCTTGTTTTGTAAATTTTTTTAATGTAGTTTTTTAAATATAATTTTTTTATTTTGTATTTTATTTAACAATTTATAAATAAAATCATTTTAAAATCATGGAGATTTGCACGTTGATAAAAAATGAGTAAAACATTATTGGAAGGAGGGAGTGTAATATAACAAGTCATGGTTGGAAAAGGGAGCAAAAAGTGACTTGTTATACCACTATTCATTAGCTAAAGAAAAGCAATAGCAAGCCACATATATCAAGCCCTTTTGGAGATGCTCTAATACCGTGGATGTTATTGCGAGACACAGAATTGCATTATAGGAGTGAGAGATAAAAGGACAGATCATATTGCAATTGATTACAAATAAATGCATGTCCTCCATACAAGACAAGAACAAAGCTAATTAAGTACTTATGGAAAATAACGACAAAGTACTCCAAATAAAGAAGTGGAAAAGGTAGTTGGGACTTGCTGTAGTAGTTGGAGGATTAAAGTTTGGAGATTCTTAGTTACTTAGATTAATTACTTTGCCCGCACAAAACATAAATGACCATGCTAAAGTGTCACCACATGAGTGCTACCATAGGTGCACCCATACTTCACACAGACGATAATTGTCTGTGCGACACAGACAATTATCATCTGTGTTTGTTTGTGTGAAGCATGGGTGCACCCATGTGGTGGCATCCTAACATTTTCCAAAAATAAATACACATACTTGTTTGATTCTGTATTTGTTTTTGTAGGCAAAGTAAGATTCTCCCAAGTCCCACCATGGTTGTCTTACATGAATCATAAGTTGTCGGTTCTGACCAAGTCGCCGGTCTCGTTGAATGGACGGCGACGACGGCTGAACCTGACTCTCAGCCCATGCTTGGCCTGGAGAATGATAGAGTCACTGGGGCAAACCGACGCCCTGTCCACCACCTGGAAGTCGTAGTGGTGGAGCATGGTGGCGGCCACCATTTTCATCTGGACAAAGGCCATGTCTTTGCCCAGACATGTCCTCGGCCCGGCGTTGAACGCCGGGAACTTGTAGGAGGGCTCGTGCTTGACACTGCCCCGCCCCGATATCCACCGCTCCGGCTTGAACTCCAGGCAATCTTTTCCCCAAATGGTCTCCATTCTCCCCGCGGCGTAAAATGACACTATCACCCTCGTCCCCGGCTTCACTGGGTGGCCGCTCGGCAGGATGTCTTTCTTAGCCGCCACCTTTTTGATTAGGTTCAAATTAAATATTGTTAGCAACAAATATACAAAAATCATGATCATAATGATCAAAATAATCATGATTATAATAAAGGTAATTTCCCTAAATATAACTAAAATATAATGATAATGATAATAAAGTTGTTGATGATGATGATGATAATAATGGTATAGCAATAATTAATACTCCCCCTCTTATATCTTTTAATTTTTCACGGTTTCCAATATAATACTTTAACCATTAATATACTCCTTCCGTCCTCAATTTGATTACAAATTGCGGGTTACAGAGTAAATTTTCTTACCTTTTGAAATTATTTTATTTACAAATTGGTATATCAATAAGATATAAAAATTACATATTAAAAAACTACGTCAAAAGTTCTACAAAACAAGAGGTGACAAGAATATTTTATTTTATCAAATACTTAATGAAATTGCGTAAACAAACAAAAGTTATCGAGAGGAGAGAAAAAAAAATTGTAATCTATTTAGGGACGGAGGGAGTATCTATCCATTGTCATGCATGTTACATGTGTTTGATTGAAGTTATTTTCAAATCATTTTATATAAAAAAGGCGATGAATTAAGAAATAAAAATTACATATTTAAAACCTACATCAAAAGTCCTACAAACTTGAGGTAACTTGACTATATTATTTTATTAAATATGCAATGAAAATAGGCAAAAGAGTATATATAAAGTTTGACCATATGTAAAGAGTGAATGAGAAAATAGGCAAAAGAGTATATATAAAGAGAAATTTACCTAAATAGAACTAAAACATAATGACTTTCGCAATATAGGACCATATGTTTTTATTTCCCAATGTAGGACTTTTGGTCATTATCATGTAGTCATTATTCAAGTAAATGTCCATCATTACTGGATATTATTTTTCCTACTAGGTCATTATTAAGTCCTATTTAGGAAATTAAAAAAGTTTAAGTCCTACATTGGTAAAGACATTATGTTTTAGTCCTATTTAGTGCAAATTTTACATACTCGTATATAAAGAGTGTATATAAAGTTTGACCATATGTAAAGAGCTAGTAGTACCTTGTGCTCAAGGGCAACCGGAGGGAACAGCCGGAGGGATTCGCAGAGAGCTCCGTGAAGGTACACCAGCTTCTTGCTTTCCGCCGCCTTGAAATATCTCAGCTTGTCTTCTTTCTCATCAAGATTCAGTTTCTCCTCAATCTCCCGCCGGACCTCCGCGAGGACATGCGGGTTTTCGGCAAGAAGCCAGAAGAGCCACGTGAGCGCGGTGCTCGTCGTGTCTCTCCCGGCAAACATTAAGCTCAAGAAGGTGTCCCTCAGGAACTCTTCTAAGCTCGTCTTTGTCAGCTCTGGCTTCTCTTCGTACGCTTTCTCGAAGGCGACGAACAGGGGAGACTTGCCTGTCTTCCCATGTTCTTGTTGCCTTCTGATGCTCGAATATATGAATTCGTCGAAATCGCGACGCGCTTGGTTGAGCTTCTTCTCTTTCCCGATCTGGAGGAAGTTCTGTGCCCTCCAGATGGTCTCTGGGAGCATGTGCCTGTAGAGAAGGGCGTCAATCATGTGGTTAAAGCCCTTCTCGCAAGGATGGTACGGGAAATCAACAGCTAGACTTCCCGGGTCCTCGTTCAACACCATTCGCGCGATGGTGTCGAACGTGAAGCGCTGGAAAACGTCCTGGAGGTCAAACTCGGCCCCACGGTCCGAAAAATGGTTTAGAACCGGGAACATCCCTCTCTCCATCTTCTCCCACACGTTCTTCTCCAGCATGGTGTTGAAGTCGGCGTGGGTGAAGAAGGAGAGTGTGGTTTTCCGGTGGAGCTCCCAGAGCTCGGAGTCAACGTTGAATATCCCGTCCCCGAGGACGTCAAACATCTTCCGGAAGTCGGGGCCCTTCGGGTAGTTGGAGAAGTTCCTGCTAAAGATGTGGTGGATGTTAGCGGGTTCGCACGTTCCGAGCATGTCCATGTTAGCCCCCAAGGGGCCCACGCACTGGAACGTGCCCCCGCTTTCCCTCAGAACCGCCGTCGAGTAGTCGTGGATTCTGTGAGCGTGCACGGAGAGTGCGGGCATCATTCCGATCACCGGATAGGCCCGGGGTATCGATGTCCCGCCATCTCCGTTTTCCGGAGCCTCCGCACGAGGTTTCTTGAAGAAGTACAAAAGCCAATAAGCGAGGTTGCCTAGCGCCGTGATGAACAGAACCGCCACCGCCGAGTCCCGGTACTCGGCGAATGCCGGAGGGAAATAATGCAGCAAGTCGGCGGTCGGTATCATTTCTTGGTTTGGCTGTGGAAGTGTAACCGTTGGTACGTAGTGAAGATGCATGTAATATAACCTATGTTGTCTATTTATATAGCTAAAATCAAGATAAAGATTTTTTTTTGTTTTTTGAAAAAAGGGATTTTCTTTTTGAAGTGAAATAGAAATAAGATAAAATACTTTTCTTAAAAAAAATCTAATTATGATAAGACCCTTAATAATGGGATATATTAGCGTTTGGATAAACATCGATTATCACCGTAATTAGGAAAAAGACAGGGAAGAGCTGGAGATGCATCAGAGTTCAGATGAGACAAAGATAAATATAGACCCTGTTTGGGAATAGCGTTAGAGATTAGCGTTAGCGTTTTGAAAAGGCTATCTACGGTCAGCGTTTAGCGTTAGTGTTTTCAAAGTAATCTGCACCGTTGAGACCCATAATCTTTCATTTCCCAATTAACTTTAAGGTACAAAAACGTTGTAGATTTGAATTGATGGTGCAAAAAATAAATTTGAATGGACCAATTCAATGGAATTAGATCACATGAAATATCAATTCCAATTCTGTCAATTTCGTATACCAAACGGGTCCTAAGGATATGTCTTCTACACAGAATTGATGTAATTGAAATTGAATTAAGAGATGAAATTTTATTGAATTGATTTAGATGGAATCAAATTTTCCAATTTCAATACATTTTTGGCACTACCAATTTCGAATCCACATATTTTTGTGATACCAAACAGTAAAATTTGAATTATTGTTTCCAATTTCAATGCGATAGTTTGAATTCCGTGTACCAAACAAAACTTAAAAGTTTTAACTTTACTATTTTTAAAAATGTCAAAAAAAGAAAAAAAAATTAAATATCTTTGGAAAAACAATCGAGTGTTAAAAAGAAAAGTACGCGTGAAAATTAATTTGGGGACGATATATTAAATGCCGAATTAAAGTTGGAAAACCATAAATCTAGCATCATAGACTATTATATTATGAAATATTTACACTAAATAGCACTAAAACTTAAATCATTTTTCCTAAATAGTACTTAAACTGTTTTATTCTCTAAATAGACATAATAATGTCCAGTGATGACGAATATTCGTTTGAATAATGACTAATGCATAATGACTAAAAGTGCTACATTGGAAAGAAAAACACATGTGGTACTATTTAAGAAAAAGTCATTATGTCTTAATGTTATTTAAGTAATTCCTCTTATATTATATATTCCCTCCGTCCCATTAAAATTGGGACGGTTTGACTAAAGTGGTAAAATAAGGATGGATAATTTTATTTTGACTTTCCAAAAATACTCTTGATGTGATGGGTAAAAGTAAGATATGATGAGTAGATGATTAAAGCATGGGCAACCACTTTTTCAAGCCCATGCCATGCAACCTAGGACAAAAAAAATTGCTTCCTTGTGTGGAAGTATCATTCCTCCATGGAGTGCAAGGCTGGGGCGAGGCACATATCTAACATTTTCCTTCCTTGCGATATCTTTTGTTTATTTGTATATTTTCATTGATTATTTAATTAAAAAAATTTTGTCACATCTTTTTTTGTAGAACTTTTGATGTAATTTTTAAATTTATACTCCCTCCGTCCCAAAAAGTGTTTCCTATTTACCATTACGGCCTCTCAAAACTCCAATTTGTTTGCGTGTTTTCATTGATCATTTGATAAAATAAAATATTCTTGTCGTCTCTTATTTTGTAGAGTTTTCGATGTAGTTTTTAAATATAATTTTTTTATGTGTTATTTCTTTACCAATTTTAAAATAAAATCATTTTAAAATCTACGAGGTTTTGCACGTTAATCAAAACAGGAAATTCTTTCTCGAACGGAGGGAGTACGTTTTATTTTCAATTCTTATACCAGTTTTTAAATGAAATGGTTTTTAAAAATAGAGAGTGTTTGCATCATAGTTCTAAAATAATAATCTAAATTGAGATGAAGGAATAAGTAAAAATATGGAGTAGATAAAAACATTTTTAATAATTAAAATATTTTTTAAAATTATTTATTTGAGTAAATAGAAATATTTTCATGATAAAAATATATAAGTAAAATAATTTTTAATAATTCAAATATGGAAAAAATATGAAAAAAAGTGATGAAAACAACGATTTGCCACTGCAAGACATGTCACACCACTCACGTTTGAGATAGCTTTGTTGCATCCGAAGACGTTGCCCCCCCCCCCAACGGTTGAAAAATGACCGTTGACCAATTTGAAATTTTGTTCCAACTATATATACCCTTTATTCTTTAAAAACAATCACACACAACATATTCTTATTCTCTATATAATTTATCCAAAAAATGTTCTATTTGTTATGAATTTTTCAAAAAAATACCTAAAAAGGGATCATCGTCATTTAATAATGAAAGAACGTTTGAAAAATTTGACCGTTTGAATAATCCCACCTCCGTCCCCAAACGAAGTTTCCTTATTGACCTTTTGAGGATTAAGAGAGAGACATTTTTGTGTTGACTTTACAAAAATACCTTTGATGTGATGGGTAAAAGTAAGATACGATATGTAGATTATTAGTAAAAAAGTATGATATGATAAGTAGGATATTAAAAAGTAAGAGGTAAAAATGATTTTTTAATAGATAAAGACATTTTTTTGGGGACAAAGAAAAAATGAAAGGAAAATATTTTTGGGAGGAGTAATTGGTAACAACGTTTTAGTAATATTACGTGTACAAATGTCAGTTACATAGGCTTGGAGCGCAGGTTTTTATCTGCCACTTCTTGTATTGGTTATTGTTTTAGAGGATTAAATTCAACTAGAAGAATAACAAATAGTGTTAAAAAAGTTGTACTAAGTATATTAGTGTAAAACGAAAGTAAATATGACTATACCCTTAATTCCTTAAACTTAAGACTCCATGTGGTGTATATGTTCACTTTGATTAATTATACTAGATAAATTTTGACTTTTAATTAAACAAAAGTTGTAATGTATATTAGTGTAAAAATAATTTTATTATATATATATATATATACACACACACACACTCCCTCCATCCCTAAATAGATTACAATTTTTTTTCTCTTCTCTCGATAACTTTTGTTTGTTTACGCGATTTCATTAAGTATTTGATAAAATAAAATATTTTTGTCACCTCTTGTTTTGTAGAACTTTTGACGTAGTTTTTTAATATGTAATTTTTATATCTTATTGATATATCAATTTGTAAATAAAATGATTTCAAAAGGTAGGAAATTTTACTTTGTAACCTGCAATTTGTAATCTATTTAGGTACGGAGGGAGTATAACATATTTTTGTTGCATAATAAAGTGATAGACTATTACTAGTACATTGTATTTTATGGAGTACTATTAGTATAACATTTTATTTTGAGTGAGATGTTTCAGAATACTAGTATTTGAACCCGTGCCATGCACGGGTGGGACAAAATTTTTTGTCGATTCTAAATAAAATTTAAAGCAATATTTTTTCAAGAATAAAGAAAATATACTTCTCGCATGATATTTAATATTCCCTCCGTTCCACAAAACTCTTCCACTTTTGTTTTTTTTGAATTCTCTAAAACACTTCTACTTTCTATTAAAAAACTACTTTTACCCTTACTTTTTCATACTCTACCTATCCCATCAAACTTTTTCCCTAATAACCAAACTATCACATCAAGGGCAAAATTGGAAAGTCAACCAAAATTACACTTTCCTTATTTTTGCCAAAAGTCAAAAATGGAAGGGTTTAAAGGAACGGAGGGAGTATCATAAAAAAACCAAAGTGGAATAAATAATATTTGAGGGATTGATTGTGTACAACACACAAAAAATTAATACCAAATTTTCAGAAAGATTTCAGGGTATACAAAAGATATGTTCGTTGTTCTTATTATTATTTAAAAAAAAATTAAAATAAATTTTAAATTTTACCATTTTCTTGTTGTTAAGGAAAATAATTTGAGTATCATTTCTTTTTTTAAATAAATCTCAACCACATGTTTTTTTAAATTTTTTTTCATTATTTATTAAGTTATTTTTTTAATTTTTGGAAAAGCCAAATTATTATTCGGTTTTTTTCTTTTTTAATATAAATAAGGTATGTGTTATACTAAAAAAAGCATTATTTTTCCATTCATATTTTTGTTGCATTTTAATATACATAGAATACATTTCTATTTTCAAAAAGATTTTGAAATATTAAATTTATATTATTCAATTTTATTTTTAAAGAAAATAGTGTTTGGGTATGATATATTTTTTGGTTTCAAATAAACATCAGAGTATTTTTTACATCAATATTATGGTCGTTTATTTTTTAGTGAATTCAAGTTGCTAGTAGGTTTGTCAATAGTGTAGAAGTATTTGAAAAATAATGTTAACCTCAAAGATGTTAAAATTTGAGGTGTGCATGAATACTTTTTATCATTTGTTTTCTTTTTAATAAAAATAAGCCATGTGCTATGTAATAAACATTGCATTGAGAATCGTATATACTCCGTAATTTTTTTGCCTTTTAACCTTCGTGGTATAAACATGTATATGAAAATTATTTAAACATTTTTATCAATTAATATCTTATAGGTCATCAATTTAATCGGCATGAATTTCTTACTCTGTGTATAATATTCTTTAAATTTTACTCAGTTATTACGTGGCGTTGACATGTTAAAGTTTTGCCAAATAGACATGCCAAATGTCGAATTGCTGTAAATCGGAGTCTCCTTTATTATAGGAAAGGATTATTTAGTTTAAATAATTTCTAATAAGGAAATAAATACGAAATTCAATTTCCTTAAAATAAGTGTTTTTGTTAACTAATTTTTTAAATATTACTTGCTGACATGGAATACTGACATATCAAAAAGTTGACTAATAAGCGTCCCACATGTCACAATCTTAGAAGCCAACTCTCAAATTTTATATACTCCGTATAAAGATTTAATTTAGTCGCACTAATATATCCCTTCTTGGAATAGATTTGTTTGTTTTGATTTTTTTAAATATGAGTTCCTTGTTTAAATACTACGTATCAAAATATATTACTCGTATTAAATTTTAATTTTTTCCAATAAT